AGCGTGTTTTGGGGTTTTTGGGGAAACCTGGATGAGTGACGAAACGTTTGTCCCACTGAAAACGTCCAGATGAACAGAATCAACTTCTGGAGATATTAGAGGATGGTGATCATTTATATCATCTGGCTCAAGTATTTCAATGTCACATTGTTTCAGACACCTCGTGGTTTCTGAAATGTTGACTACATTGCCAACAAAGCTTTCTGCAGAGCAAAGAGACATTCTTAATGGTAGAATTTATACAAACAGTAACCAGTTCAGAGTGCACTGACCTGCAGATAACATCAAGTCTTCATGGAAGAGGACTCCATGCAAAAGCAAGTGATAACATTTCCAGATGTGGAGATTTTTCCCACTATATTTCTTTCTTTCCGACCTACATGTGCTGACTGTTTTGATGTTTCGCACTAACAAGGAAATGAGGCTTGAACCACCCAGGTAGCCATTATTAACTCATGTTTGTTGGTTGAAAGCTTTTTTGGAAGCAATCTAGAGCAACAGCTGCAAGATGATCAGCACATAAACATAAGACTATTCAATTTAAATATGACTCTATTACAAATATATGCTGCGAACCCACGTAATAAAAACCTAATTATACACTAACTAAGAATCTCAGAGCTCATGAGACCAATTAAAGGTAGTGCACATCATGGATTTGACCCATTAGGACTGGGAATGTGGAGGATGCATGCTACTGGTGACCACAACATATTTGATTATAACTTAAAATCTATTTTATCAATGTAATAAAAAGTGTTTCTTCCACTTAAAACTGTAGTATGCTTCATGCCTAATGTGTCATTTGACTTCTTAGCAAAAGTGGTTTATGTTAATGTTAAAAAATAAAGAATTTGATCATTTTGTTAGTTAATACTCAAAACCAAGCCATGATGTCATTAGGACCTGCTTTTAAATAAAGCACAGGAGTGTTCTACACAAGAACAACGACTGTCACGTAGTAAAGTGCACTGTATGAGTTAATTCTTTAAAACAAAGTGTTATTAGAGGGGTTTTTCAGGTCTTCTATTAAAATTGATATATATCAGCACTACTTGGTCTGAGTCATACTGCTACATGGTTTGTGTCACAGTCTTATAATACACTTAAAACTTTGACAGACTCGGATTTTGTGGTAGAAACAATGAGCATTGCTAAATAAGTAAACACTACAGGGACTAATAAGAGTTCACATGCCTGACGTGTCCTGATAAAACCGACTGTAATCTAATTTGTAGAAACAACACCAACTTACAAAAGAAAGAAAAAACATTCTCCTGTGCAGTTAGTGAATACCCTGGGTGTGTGTGCAGATGTCTGGATGTGTGCGTGGCTGGGCCTGGGTCTGGCTGAACCGTGGCTCCTTTGGAACATGGTTATGGAGGGTGGGGGTTGCCCCTCTGGGCACTGGCCAGTATCCACACCCTACTTAGTGCCCTGTGGACCTGTTCTCGGCCCCTGGCTCTGACTGGGTCGGCTACGCGTTCTGGTTCTCTGAGACTCTGGCCCCAGTTGTCATTAAGGCGTCGGGCTTCAGGTCTTTTGGGGCCTGTGGATGGGCCATCCTACCCCCAGCATGGCTCTAACGTCTTAGTTCAAGAAAGAAAGCAGTTGGAGTCATAGGACAGCTCAACTTAAATATACTGAAGTTTCTTCATTAAAAAAAATATAAATAAGATAATCACAAAACATTAGTGAACACTTCACTGGGTTTTTAACAACAACAACATAGAAACACAACTGATAATGCAGGAAAACGTCTATGGGATGTTTGAAATTTCCTTACTTCATCCACTGTTTCGTAGCCTGTTAGCTCGCTTTGGTCACATAAGTTAGTATCCAGCCAGGTTCAGCTCCAAAGTGCTCCTGAATTCGAAGCAGTTGTCCAGGTGTTGGGTCACATGCCTCCACACAAGTGTACTCAGCTGCAATGAAAGAAGCAGTGGACGGTGTACACCACAGTGAAACTCAGAGCTGCTCCTTTGTGTCAGGAGGTGATCCGGTGGCTCTCCGTCATCAAGGAGAAAACCGAATCAATCAGCAGGAATCTTTAACTCCCCTGCCTGTAAAACAGGGATGTTACTGCATTACATCAATAAATACTAATATTTCATTATCATCATGAAAATCAAACCAGGCCTCTCAAAATATGCCAATGCTTGTATATGTGTCACACAGTGGAAATTTGTATTTATCTTGTATATTGTTTTTATTCTGATTTTTAGTGTTTATTTATGAGTGTCGTTTTATTTGAATGGTTTTATTCTGTTTCTATTGCATGGTTTTTAGTGTTTTATGTGACATAGTTTTTAATCCACTGAGGACTGGCTGCACATGGGACAAACTAGCTGATAGGGACCACCTGCTGAGGCAGGGGTGTGTCCAGAGGTGGCCTATCAGCTGTGTAAAGACCTTTTAAAAGCAGGCAAGCTGAGCCCTGAAGAAAACAAAAAGGCCCCAGACTGGAAGGTGAATGTGAGATGGCCAGCGTGACACGGCGACCCAGTCCTGACCTCATGGAACGGCAACAGTAGGAGACAACGCGTGTGATTGGCAGCAGGGCAGAGGTTTAGGGTCTCTACTGTTGTTTACTGGGTGCAGCTGGATTGGGAGAGGGTCGCCATGACCTAGGGCCGCTTCTGGGAACATTGTACTCGCCCCTATTTGTTATTTCACAGGACACCGACGCAAGGGGAGCTGTGGCGGTGGTCACATGATGAATTCAGGTGCAGAACGCAAGCTGGGCAGGGATGTGATGGGCCCGTGGAAGGACAAGAAGATGGGAGGCGCTTCCTTGTCTGCCAAAGACGGGGCTGACGTGGACTCTGCTCTAAAGCTGGAATTCCTGGCCTGCTGATGGACCCATAATGAACATGTGGCATAATTATAGCAGGGGTTTTTAGTGACTCTAGAAAATGGTGGTTTTTAGTAGATTGACAACATTTTATTACGTACATTTTAAGAGGGTTTTTTTTTGTTTTTGTTTTTTTATATTTGTGCTCCCAGGCCGTAATAAACTGTTTCTGATCAGACCTGCTTCCTCTCTGTGCCCTGGGTGTCTGACTCGCTTGCTCCCCTGTATTTTAAAGAATCTTTAGCAGGACATTCTGGCACGACTGCTTTAGTGTCCCTATGTGTTACATATACATGGCTTATCCACACAGCTGATTATTAAGGGTGAGCATTTGTTTTCTGTGCGTTTTGTGTGCTTGTACAGCATTTTTCTATTTGCTGGTGTTTTCTTAAGCTGCAGAGCATTTGGCCTCCCAGTACTACAATGTGAATAACAGCTGGAACCCTCAGCTTTGTGTTTACAGAAGGGAAGGAGCTAACCTGAGGGTTGCATAGCTCTCCGATTGTCTCTCTGCTTCTTTGTAGAGACAGCAACATGTTCCCAGATCCTTGCAGCAAATGTGTACACCGAGTTATATTCATGCTAAATAATGGACAAACTATGACTGCTTTTATTTATCATATACATCAGAGTTGTAAGAAGTGAGTAGATTGTGTCTGTATACTGAGACCTGCAGAAAAGACGGTGATTTTGATAATTGGACAGACAGTGAGAGAAGAGACCCCCTCTGAGAGCCAAGCAAATACATCAGCTGGTTCTAATCAGTAGACTCTATTAGTCAGTACAGGCACAATGTGAGGTCCTGAATCATCCTGTTGTATTTCCTGTAAAAACACATTCTAAGGAAGGACTCTGCCGATAATTTTTCCAATCACAGCATCCTTTTTCCCCTTTTCTGAGCTAATGACAGCAAATACTTCTAGGATTTTGAATACAGTAGTAAATGACAAGAATATCACAGCAATGACTAAAATAAATGGAAACCCTTGCTGCATATTTAATCTGCTCACCAGCTTTGAGTGTTCAAATGCATTTAACAGATGCCACTTCCTGTCTCAGGTGACGTGATTGCCACTGCTCAAAGAAAGCTCTCCTCTAACTGAACTGTTATTTCCAATAAACTTTCAAACTCAACACTTTAACTTACACATTCTTAACACAACCTGTTCTCCTCCCTTCTGGTACAGAGCACTGTACACCAACATAAGCAGACATCTACAGTTTCTCTCCACCGGCTGTCACGCTGATGAACACTGTATTTAAACACACCACACCTGCTGCTGTATCACACTGTACATATTATTTTTATTCTGTTGTACATCTTTCTCTCATGTATATGCATTCATGGTTAATCCTCCTGTATATAGTAGGTAAGAGCCCAATTCCTTGTATGTGTACACGTACTTTCTCTGAGTGAACATCAGATAATGTCGAGGTGACTGTTGTTGTGATTTAGCACTGTTTATAAATAAAAACGAATGAATGAACAGATTTAGCTATAAAATCATACCACATTTCATTGGTTTGAGTCGATTACTATTATTATCTTTATTAGTATTTTTAGTACTCTATACAATCTTCTTTCCTCCCGTGTTAGTCAGTTTTGAACGCAGGATACAAATCCCTTGAAATCTCAATGTCATTTGGGAATTTAAAAATCGAAGCTCCATCGGCAGCTGCACTGAAAGCAGTCTGTACACAGCTGGATTTCATCCAAGGTGGCCAGAAATGATTTCTTTAGTGCATTCAGGAACTAGCAGTACAAAGGGTGACTGATGGCCATTCCACAAACAAGGCCAGTGTCACAAAACAGCTGCTACAGCCACTCTCTGTGTAACAGTCACAGGGTTTATGGAGTGTGACATTATTTCAATGAACTATTACAAGAATTATATTTTTAAAATGGTAACAAGAAACAAGCATGAAAGAGGGTTTTGTTCAATCGCAGCTCCACAATTCTGCTCCAACACAGCGAACTTATGTTCAGCATTTTTCTGTAAATTGTGTCTCCTTCTGGACATTTATGTAGTTTCCCTTCATTCATTGCTGACTGAGGCAACCACACTTATAAAACACAGGTAACAGTTATGAGCAGAGATGTGAAACTGAGTCAAATTCCATTACAAAACAAAGACCTCTGTTACCTTTATAAGCAGGAATTACTTCATCTGGGACATGCTGAAACGAATAAACATGTCAATAATCAGGACGGTGTGTGTGTGTGTGTGTGTGTGTGTGTGTGTGTGTGTGTGTTCTGTACCACATAGAAAACATATTCACAAAAAGACTTTCTCTGTACTTTCCCTCCTGTCACTATGAGTTTAGATTCAAGAGTTATTTAAATGTGTCCCAGAGTCAGAGGGACCAGATGCATTCGTCACCATTCTTTCCCTCTGACACAGGGTTTGTTTATGTAAACGTCTTCACAGTTTTAAACACAGCTCTGCACCCCTGCTGAGGGGTCAGGAGCTCCCTGTTTCTCATGAGACCCCGAGATCCAGTGGTAGCAGTCAGCGGCATTCTTATCGTGTGCCGTAACTCTATAGCGGTTGCAGTAGACAAAACCGAGTGCCACCATTACGGCAATGAAGATGCAGATGGGTATGAAGAGTCCCACCATGAGCCAAGTGCTCCCCTTTGTCTGGACAGAATCCGAGCTGTCGTCACCTTCCTCGTCCTCAGTTAGGGGCGGCTGGGAAGAAGCCAGCCTGGTGGGAAAGGCCAGGTTTTGACTGGGGGTAGATTCCACAAAGGTCATTTCCTCTTCGCTTAACTCCGCCTCTGTGAACTGAAAGTTTTCCCTGAGGAGAGTCGTCTGTGTTTCTCCTTCTGGCTCTTTGTGGTAACTGGACTCTTCAGGCATGTCTGTGACAGAACCCTGTGGAATCTTGCTTGAAGTAACGAGATCCGCCCCCCAGTTCCAAGCTCCTTCTGAGACTGTTGAGGTGGGGTATAAGCGAAGAGCTGTAGTAGCTTCACCCTCATCTTCCTTGTACAGGTCTGGGGTAGCGCTGGAGCTAAGGACATGAGGAGTATTGTAGGCAGTTGCTGACAAAACCTTCAGCTCAGTCTGAAATCTCTGATCACCGTTTGACCAGTCAGCTCTGTCTACAGCTTCTTCTTCATCTTTATCAGTTCCCTGTGTCAGGGGGTCCAGCACCAGTGGGGGACTGGTGGCCCAAATTACATCAGAATTCAAAACTCTGGTGGACTCTGTCAGCCAGTCCAGAGACTCCTCCTCCTGTGTAGGCCAGTCAGTGTGGCGCTGCTCTGGGATCCAGCCATAGTCCCACAGAGGTCCAGCCTGGCCTGTGACCCAAAGAGAAGGAGGAGTGACAGCATATTGGTCGTCTGCTTCCTCTCTCTTCTCACATGAATAGTTATCAGACATGAGTTCAAAGCCTTCACTGCAATAGCACTCAAAACCGCCTTCATAATTCACACACATCTGCTCGCATGTTCCAGGAATCTCGCACTCATTGATATCCTGGCATTGCCTGGGATGCTCAGGCACTAAGGAATAGCCCAGATGGCAGTGGCAGATATGAGAGCCTGGGGTGTTCTCACAAGCATGTTCACATGGGTCATTTATACACTCGTCAATATCCTCACACTCACCCCCATCGTTTATATCATAGCCCTCGTGACACTGACATTCAAATGTCCCCACGGTGTTCACACAGATCTGCTCACAAGGACCTCCGAGGCACTCGTCTACATCGAGGCAAGTGCGTTCATCTGGTGCAAGCGTGTATCCATCAGCACATTCACAGTAGACATGAGCACCAGCTGCCATGCAGAAATGCCCACATCCACCATTATCCTGGTCACATAGGTCGTGTGATATAGAGGAATGAGAACAAAGAGGAGTTTCTTTGGTCCATCCCACTGAGCCATCTTCCCTCGTCATACATGAAACCTCTTCTTTGGCGCCTGAAGGACAGCGTACGGTAGCAACAGATCCAACGGGTACATGAGTCAGCAGTGCGCTCAGAAGGTTAAACGGTGTGGTGTAGGTAACATTGCCTTCTCCCTCACTCCACAGGGGAGGGCACATGCCTGCGTAGGCATAATGGCACAGATACCCATCTGCAGAGACTGCACAAGCACTGTCTATCCATTTAAAATTATGATCCTGGTCTTCAGTGCTGTAGCCCATAAACACACAGCGAGGCACTGAACACGAGTCAGCGGAGTCCGGGTTCTGCCAGTCGGTGTACTCTGTGTCCTGGTCACCAATAGTCCAAGAGAAACCTCGCAGCGGGCGCGTGGTAGTGCACTGGCGAGGCTGGCGCTCAAGGCCAATCCATACTTGGACAGTAGTGCGTGAGTGGCGCAGATCCACAGTGGAAAAGAGAGTGGCAATAGCGGCTGCGTCCACCTTCCGCTTGATGGTGGCCAGGTCGCCACCTTTTTCTTTGCAGGCCCTCCATGACTCCAAAAAGGTTTTGGGTTGAAAATAGACAACAAAGCAGCCATCTGTGTTACAGAGTGCATCTCTTTGTCTCAGGGTCTGGGCCAAGACTGAAGAACATCCAAAAAGCAAAGCCAGCAGGGAGGTTAAGAGGAAAGCACTGCTCACCGGGGAGCCCATTCTTTATTTTAAACCGGCTTTATAGATCCTCTCTGATCCTGATTTTCTTTACACTTTCATCATCTGCCTTTAAAAGATTTTTCTTAATGTGATGTTTTAGTCTTGGTCTGAAATTTCCTCCCTGAATTTTAACTTCTTTTCCTCTGTGGTCTTCACTCTATACTGCTGAAACAGATCAGCACTGGAGTGTTTGCAGGCTCAAGACTTCAGGAAGCAGAGAGGGAGGAGAGAAGAGGAAATAGGAGTAAGAAGGAGGGAGTTATAGCAACAAGCAGGACGAGGAGAAGGGCAAAGAGGGGGGGGAGTTAAAGGGAGATTAATATGTTATTGAAAGGGGAGGGGTGAGAGGGAACCCTGTGAATGTGTATGTCAGAGTTGGGGGAGGAATAGCAAACTGATTTCTTTTTCAGAGTATGTCATATGGTTTTCATAAGTTCCATCTGTGGACATAGTTGGTACTCTGCCATTTGGACAAGCAGACAGACATGTATGTGCTGATGCATCCAAACTCGTTCATATACAGAGATAAAACCGTGACATTTATCTCAAATGGAGATTAAATGATAGTTTGAATAAATATTCTTTCTAGAAAAACAGCAAACATATTCTGTCTTCTCTTCTATATATTCCACCTTCTGAAACCTTTCAGTATGATTATGATAACACATTAACATGTATGCCACTCATGATGATGTCTCTTGCCTTTCAACATGTTTAGTGTTTATGATTGTCTTATCTTTCCTTTTCAGTTCTTCTGAAACTTTCCTTCTGTGCAAAGAGAGCGTTTTACCTACTTTTACTGAGGGCTTGCTCAT